GCTCCCGCGCCCCAGCACGCCCGGCCGGCGCGCGCGCCCGGCACCGGCTCTGTCTCCACTCCGCCTCCCGCCGGCCCGCGACCAAGCGCAGCCATTGTTCGCGACGCAGCTCCCGCCCCCTGGCGGCTGCCGGGCCCCCCAGCTGCAAGCTCTGCGGGGCTAGCGGCAGCGAGTTGGGTCCCCGAGAGAGGGCCGTTCCCGGGGGCCTTGGGCAAGCGGGCGAGCGACTGCGCTAGGAGCGCGCCCAGTCCGCAGTCTCCTCGTCCCCGGCGCGGCTCCCCGCCCCCTCGTCTGCCAGGGGTGGGCCTGGGGCAGCCCCTTCCACACCTGCAGTCGGCAACTTCCTTCCCCGCCCGACTGACCGTCTGCTCTTTCTGGTCCGCACCCTGTGCTCTGATTCCCCGCTCGTACCTTTCCCAGGCTCTCAGGCTGCCCCTCTGTGCTGTGCAGGGGACGCGCGACCATCCCGCGTCTGCTCCGGCCGCCGCTGTGCGACACACGGTTTAGCGGATCCTGCACCTTTCCAGACGGGGGAGGGGGCGAGGAGGAGGTTGCTTCACCGTCTCTCCCAGCAAACACCAGGGATCCGTAATCACCTGCTCGCCAAGACCCGCGGCGTGGCCAGACCTCCTCCTCCACCGAAAAAATTAGTCACATGAAAAAGAATCCTTGGAGCCAAAAATGAGAACCATTGAAAACAAAGCCCTAGATCCTAGATTTATGAGGCAAGAGTGCCAGAAAACAGAAATTACGTCTTGATTCGTCCTAGTTTTGATGTGGATTACTTTTGTCTAGATAACTTCAACCCAGTTAAGCTCGATGAAATTGAACACTTCGTTTAGTAACGGGCACCAAAAATAATCTGACAATAAAAGAAATTTCGAAATAGAACTATTAGTGTGCTTTCACAAACTTACTCATTTGCAACGTTATTTCTAGAGTTTCTTCCCGGTGTCACTTCTCTGAGAAATGTCTCCCAGGCCGGTGATTTCAGTCATCATCTAAAACCAATCTCCTTTCTACACCTGGGAAGATAGTGTATGTCCTGGTTAAGAGCAAGGGCTCCAGAGTCAGATAACCAAGGCTGGATATCCGCTTACTAACTGGAGAGGAGACCACCGGCATGTTACTTATCCTGAACTTCAAGAGGAGACTACATGTGATATTTTGTATTTAAATGTGACAATACATATGAAGCCCTTTAAACAGGGCCGGGCATGTAGTACCTCTCCTGGTACAATGTTAGCTACAGCTGTATTTTTCTTCCCAGAACTCTTTCCTATGCTTTTTCCCTCCTTTTCACCTCTGCCAGTTCCCTCGGATTGAACATGTTGCATCCTTCCTAAATTTGCAGCGCTCCTTCTAGCGGCTCACGCACCTAGTCAGCATTCTCATACAGTCATGCCTTACCTAGCCACAGGCATATGTTCTGAGGAACGTGTCATTGAGCGATTTTTGTTGTTTTGTGCACATCATAGCGTGCTCTTACGCAAACCTAGGTAGTCTAGCCAACTACTCGCTTTGGCTATATGGTATATAGCTGTTGCTCCTAGGCTACAAACCTGTAGAGTGTGTTACTGTGCCAATACTGTAGGCAATGGCAACACAAGGTATTTGTATCTAAACATAGAAAACGTACAGTAGAAGAACTGTATAATCCTTTTCTTTCTTTCTTTCTTTTTTTCTTTTTTTGAGACGAAGTCTCAGCTCTGTCACCCAGGCTGGAATGCAGTAGCGCAATCACAGCTCACTGCAACCTCCGCCTCCCGGGTTCAAGCGATTCTCCTGCCTCAGCCTCCCTAGTAGCTGGGTTTACAGGCACATGCCACCACGCCCAGCTAATTTTTGTATTTTTAGTAGAGACGGGGTTTGACCATGTTGGCCAGGTTGGGCTCGAACTCCTGACCTCAAGTGATCCTCCCACCTCGGCCTCCCAAAGTGCTGGGATTACAGGTGTGAACCACTGCCCTCAGCTTAAAGAACTGTATAATCTTATGGGAGCACTGTTGTATATGCGGCCCACCTGTCCATCACTGACGTAAAGAAGTTGGACCAGAAATTATTGAATCTTTTGAATGAATACCTTACTTTCCCACCAGCCATACGAAGGATCAAGCCGCCTACCTCTGTGTCTTTCCATAAGCTATTCTCTCTCCCTTCAGGCTACCCCTTCTCTCGCCTGGTGAACAAATAATCTTTCGTGGCGTTCAAAAATCACCTTCTTGGCCGGGTGCGGTGGCTCACACCTGTAACCTCAGCACTTTGGAAGGCCAAAGCAGGCAGACCACGAGGTCACGAGTTCGAGAACAGCCTGGCCAACATGGTGAAACCCCCATCTCTACTAAAAATACAAAAACCAGCTGGGCGTGGTGGCACGCACCTGTAATCCCAGCTACTTGGGAGGCTGAGGCAGGAGAATTGCTTGAACTCGGGAGGCGGAGGTTGCAGTGAGCTGAGATCATGTCACTGCACTCTAGGCTGGGCAACAGAGCAAGACTCTATCTCAAGAAAAAGAAAAAGAAAGAAAAGAAAAGAAATCACCTCCTTGAGAGGCATTCTCTAACACTCCTCTAAGCAGGCCAGTGCTCTTCTCTTGTACCTCTCTTCTCTGATATTGTAGGTATGTTAGAATTGTGTTTTCTAGCCTGTCTGTATCTACCAAACATTGCATTGTTGACAGGCAAGCTCTGTGTCTCATGCATATCTGTAGTCCCAGCATCCAACAGCAAGTAGGTGGACAGTAAATCCTTTGGTATAAATGGATGAGTTTATACTTTTGGAAATAACTCTGAAGTGGTCAGATTTCATTCTCTTTGATTTGGATCATTAAAGTTAATTGAAAACTTTATCTCTCCTGTAACTGTTCCTCATAACTGATTTTCAATCATTGGTAAACCCCAAATAGAATGAACTTTTCTAAGTCACAATTATCAGAAAGGAAATTGTTTTCTAACTTGAATCAGCACTTTCAGTTGCTCAAGCTATATAGCATCCGTACATGAAATCGCCTGAGTGACATGGAAATCCACACACCACTCTACAATCATTTTAGGATTTACTTTAAAATAAAATATTTGTATAGGAATTGAAAATAATGAATATTTAAAGAGCAGTGGGCCAGCCGGGTGCGGTGGCTCACGCCTATAATCCCAGCACTTTGGGAGACTGGCATACCACCTGAAGTCAGGAGTTCGAGACCAGTCTGGGCAAAATGGTGAAAACCCCATCTCTACTAAAATTAGAAAAACTACCTGGGCGTGGTGGTGTGTGCTTGTAGTCCCAGCTACTCAGGAGGCTGAGGTGGGAGGATCACTTGAGCCTGGGAGGCAGAGGTTGGAGTTAGGTAAGATCACATTACTGCACTCCAGCCGGGGCGACAAAGCAAGATCCTATATCAAAAAATATAAATAAATAAAGAACAGTAGACCTACTAATAGGCAGCTGATTAAAAGCAACTGAGACCAGGCACAGTGGCTCATGCCTGTAATCCCAGCACTTTGAAAAGCTGAAGTGGGAGGATCTCTTGAAGCCAGGGGTTTGAAACCAGCGTGGGCAGCAAAGTGAGACCCCACCTCCATTTAATAAAAATAAATTTAAAATTAAAAATTTTTTTAAAAAGCATCTGATTTATCAACACATTTTTACCAGTTACCATGCAGTGAAATGTTCAAGCATCAGGAAAAAGATAATGCTTTCAAATTCACCATTATCGGATTTGAGCAGTTCGAACGGGACAGATTCCAGAATCACAAACTCCAGTTTCCTTCTATGTCCTCTTCTTTCTTATACTGTATCTTATATTATGATGCCCTTTTTCTGACATTTATTTTCCTGTAAATTCATCTAGCCCCCAGCACCCACCATAGAAGTTACCCTCCTTTATTAATGATATCTGAATTTTTTTTTTTTTTTTTTTTTTTTTGAGACAGAGTTCTTGCTCTCGCCCAGGCTAGAGTGCAGCAGTACGATCTTGGTTCACTGCAACCTCTGCCTACAGGGTGCAATCGATTCTCATGCCTCAGCCTCCTGAGTAGCTGGGATTATAGGCATATGCCAGCAGGCCTGGCTAATTTTTGTATTTTTAGTAGATACAGTTTGTTTTGACATGTTGCCTAGACTGGTCTTGAACTCCTGGCCTCAAGTGATCCGCCCTCCTTGGCCTCCCAAAGTGCTGGCATTACAGGAATGACACTGCATGGCCCTGAATTTATTTTTGTCACTACACACTCTTTATGTGTTTCTTCTACTATATCTTAAGCTCCTTGAAGGCAACAACAATGACTTTCTCTTCTTTGTCTCTCTGGGATTTAGCACAGTGCTCACTAAATGCTTGTCAAATGAAGGGATTAGCAAATTTGACCAATATTTACTGAATACCTACTATGTGCCAAATACTATTCTTGGCCTACAGATGTATAGCAATGAAAAAAATCTGCAAAATCTTTGTCCTCGTGGAACTTACAGGGAAATGAATGATGAGGCCGGGCACAGTGGCTCACGCCTGTAATCCCAGCACTTTAGGAGGTCGAGGCAGGCAGGTCACGAGGTCAAAAGATAGAGACCATCCTGGCCAACATGGTGAAACCCCGTCTCTACCAAAAATACAAAAAAATTAGTCGGGCATGGT